GAAAGCGCTGAAGTGGGCATTATGCCGTTGATGTGGTGCTTTTGCTTCTTCTGGAGTGTGATCCTAACTAAGAGAGTGGAAAATTGAATACCTTTCACTTCCCTGACTTCGTACTTTGTGAACCCATTTCCTTTCCCCCCTTTGTTGTCCTTTTCAGCTCTTACAGGGAAGAATGGCTTCTTAGTAAATATACAAATGCAGTCAGCTAGAGTGCACTGTACTTGCGTAATGGTCCAGATTGACAATTACAATATTGACGCTCCTTTGCATTCTCAGGAACCGACCATGGCACCATAGACTCAGTTATATTCACCAGTCTGTTCAGCTAACAGGATGTATAAAACAGAATTGCTATACCACACCATTCTATTAGTTTGGACATATCCAGCATTTCCAGAGCACTAAGTCTAAGATGGATTTATAATAGATTATATACAGTTTCATTCTAATCAACAAGTAAAGATCAGTTGTTATTACTGGGATTAATGTTTTCAACACAAGTTTTTAGAGTTCGGTATTGTTGATTGTTTTTATAAATGCATTGCCTGAATTGGACACAAGTAGATGCTTAGCCATTGTTTTGCCTGGTGGATTGTTTGTGTTGGTGTGTTTTTACTCTCAGATGGTAATTCCATTTTGCAAAGGAGTCTAGTCTTTTCCCTCTGAACACAGAGGTGTTTGTTGACTTTGGGAGTGGAACTTTAATCTTAGATCAGATTAATTAGTATTTTATGGAAAGACAAGCAGAAATGAAATGCACATGTGCTGAATCTGTTCTGTAGTGTGTGAGCAGGGCTCGGGAGGCTTCCCCAGGGCACCTTTGGTCTGGACTACATAGCTTTGTTTGGGTTTTTCCTATATCGAATTCTATTTTTCTTTCAGTTGCATTTGAGTCTGTCTTTGGGATCTGGAGGTGAGGAATCAGACAAAGAGAAACAAGAAATGATTGCAATTCATTCTGTGAACCTACTGCTGAAAAGCATAGGTGCTACTCTGACAGATGTGGATGACCTCATATTCAAGTAAGGACCTTGTTAAAGTGCATGCTGGGAGCTGCTCCTTCTCAAAGTGCTTCAGGCATTGCTTCTTCCCATTAGTGCAGCCTTACCTTACTTAGAGAGTCTTCCTGCCTGTGACTTAAAGAATGTGCTCTGTGTCTAGTTATATTCAGGGCTTTATGGCAAGTTATAACTTTGGTTATGTGTGAATATTTAATAAAAAACCTAATTGTTTTGATATATATTATGAATTGACCATGTTTTACTACTGAGTTCTAGTTAGAAATGTGTAGCAGGGGAGTGAGATTCCAGCGTGATCTGTAGCCAAGTGTAGAGAGGAGAACCTCTTGCTGCACAGGAGAGGAGGCTGTGTGTGCATGCCAGCTGTGTCTGCACGCTGTAGCCATCTACTGAGCTGAATAGTGCACAAAGGTATTGGAATAAGTGGTGACCTGAGGGAACAACTCCTTTTAGATTATTACCATCTCACATATGTGCTAAGTTTCTGAGAAAACGAGGGAAAAAAGTATAAAATCCAAACTGAAAGACTTGGAAAAGTTAAGGGCTAGGGAGAAAGCTCACCTGGTGAAGTGCTTGAGGCCTGAGCTCAATTCCAAGAAACCACCAGGTATGGTGGGCTGCACTTGTGGTCTTAGTGCTGGTGAGGTGAAGCCAGGCGGGTCCCTGGGTCTCACTGTGCAGTCAGGCCAGTCTACTTGACCATTTCCTGGGTCTCACTGTGCAGCCAGGCCATTCTACTTGACCATTTCCTGGCCTGGGTCTCACTGTGCAGCCAGGCCAGTCTACTTGACCATTTCCAGACCATTATGAGGCAGGGAGCCTGTGTCAGAAAGCCTGGCAGACAACACCTTGGCATAGCATGCAAGGTTGACCTCTGGGCTCTATGTACTTGTGTGCACATATATACATGTGTCCCCAAAGGCACAGGAGTACCACACCACAAGCATTCACACATACAAAAGCAAACACATAAGTAGAAGAAGTTATTAAAGAATAAATATCTGTGTAGTGTTCTCCTTCTCTTGTAAAAGCAGTGACAAAATTCCAGTGAGAAATACTAGATCGGGTTGACTACATAGAAGTTAAATACTCTGGATAAAGATTTAGCACAGTGGGGGGGGCAGACAGAGAGAGAGACAGAGAGAGATAGAGAGAGAAAGACAGAGGGAGAGAGGGAGGGAGGGGAGAGAGAGAGAGAGAGAGAGAGAGAGAGAGAGAGAGAGAGAGAGAGAGAACGACAGAATGACAGAGAGACAGAGAGAGAGGTGTCAAGACCTTCAGTTTAATCTCTGCAAGTGAAAAGAAATCAACAACCCCAGATACTTTTCCCAAAAGTAACCTATGGAATTTGGCAGGTAAGTCAGGGACATGGTTCCTAGTGTCAGTGCTAAACACTGAGGGTGAGAGTCAGGAACAGAGTAGTCACAGACGGTGGAGACTTCACAGAAAGACAATGGACGTGGCAGACAGGTATTAGAGATGCCCACCATTATTATCAGAAATACATGCAAATTAAGTAAAGAGTTCAAAACATGATAATTGACACTAGAGATGGGTGGCTTCAAGAAACGAGTACTTTAAAAATGCTAGGATATAAATGAAAACTTCTATGTGTATACATACATATCATACACATACATATGCAAATATACACACAAAGATGCCTTTGGGGATTTTGTTGAATACTCAGTGAAGGGACTTCATTGTAAAATGATCCTGAAACACAGCCAAAGAGGTATGTCTACTCTGTACCTGACAGTACCCTTTATTGTAACAACCTTGGGCACGTCCGAAAGCAGGAAAGACTCTCTGGCTCTGCTGTGTAATGGAATGCTACACATGCATTCGAATGCTTACAGGGACGCTTGAGTAAATTACAGAGATGTAATTCATAATGTTGAGTTTAAAGGTGACATACAGAATGTTTTAGGTTTTGTGGATGCATAGAAGAGAAAGAATCAAAGGTGGGAAGCAATAAGACAAAACTTAAAATTTACCATGTCATTTTATCATGATATTTATTTGTGTGTGTATGTGTGTGTGTGTGTGTGTGAGAGAGAGAGAGAGAGGG